CTATAAGCGGTGCCTCCCTCTCTCCAGGGGACAGGCACACCATGAGCACTGCCCTCTGCCCAAAAGCGGTTCCAACAGAAACCCGTGGAACCAGCAAGGGCATCAGAAACCTACACCAAATATGAACCAATCCAAAAGTCTGCTAAAAACCCTCCAAAATGTCAGTTCATGAAACAGTGCAGAGAGCTCAGCTTCACCACCAGCTTGGTGATGATCTGAGTGCTACCATCATGTGTCAGTCACGAAAAGGTTTAAACTAAGACTTGAACAGTAGCACGAAGTCCAACACAGAAAGCCCATGCTGATATGTAGTCTACTTCAATACATTAATATTAGTTAATAGACCATGCAGATGCTTGGTCACTCACCAGAATTCATTTTTCCTAAGGAAAGTTTGTAATTAGACTAAAAAAACTCCTTACATTTAATACCCTTTGGAAAAACCACCACTTTGTTCTCACATGGCTATATTTAAATGTGGTCCCAGGCAAGTGCATTTGGATGTGACACCTCCAGTCTGAGTGACAGGGACACACTGAGAAACAGGAGGATTACTGCAATGCCTCCCCCTCAGGCTCGTGTGCTTTCATAGTGTTTTATGAACCACCTCAATGGCAACCAAAGACCACTCGGCCACAGACAAGAGGGGATATCCATCACAAGCACCCGAGTCCAGGTCCCTGGAACAGCAGTTCTGGCATCACCATTAACACTGACGCTGTTTCAGAAGCACCTCCCTTGTCTGGTACCCGCTATTCATTTTCCGAGCTGGAAAAGATTTGATGACTCTGTTTCTGAGACCTTCCTGATGTGTTTGTAACCTTTTTATCCCCACTAGCACCTGAGAGGTGTCCTTCCAAGCATATAGTCCATAAAGGTTCATATCCATATCAAAGTAGGTCTTTTAAGTGACTGGGGACACTTCAAGACACAGCAACTGTAAGCATCATGCCATGCTGGGGCATGACACCCCATCCTCAGGTGCCAGGCACAGGCATGTGATTTTATTCTGTTGTGAAAGTCTTCTCCCAAAACGTATTTTAGTACCCTCTCGGTTAGGATTGAATACAGGAAATTTTCTCATTTGCCGAAAATGTTGATCTTCGTCATTTATGCTGTTGAACCTGTACAGGACCAGCATGATTGGCTAATACCTGTTGCGTTGGTGATTTTGTTTCTGGGAATACAGACTTAATGAACATCCTGTTATCCAGTAATGCGTGTTTGTGAATGCCCTGAAAACATAGCTTGTTTATTTTTACAATGTTTTTTTGCAAGCTCTTTAAACTGCTGAAAGACTAATGGAACCAGTCCTTGCAGGAGGTATACAAGCACCAGAAGCAGGTAACTATATCTAGGATGATCCAAAATTCCCTAGGTGAGTCTCGAAGTCTGAGTATACTGTGGTGAGCAACAGGGTTTCCCACAGGGTGTCACATGCTTGAGGTGCAATATTGCCAGAGATCCTCTTCGCCCTTCCACGAGAAATGTGTCAGACGTCAGGTGTATTGTATGGAAAGTACGTTTTAGTGAGCTCCTGCATACCAGAGACTAGGCAAAAGATTACTTTGAAGAGCTACGTCTTGTGTTACAGGATAAGCATCATCTGCTATCCAATACTGGTGGCTGCCTTCTTGGAAGAAAAGGTTTGACCCAATCATCTGAGACATCTTCTGTCTCAGAGGTCCTAACGCTCAACACAGGTAGCTACCAGGTAGTTTCCAGAGATGTGGATGGCACGTGTCTGTTCCTCTGCTTGTCATTGGAGTAGTTGGTTGTCTATAATCAGAGGTGTTAAACGAAAGGAATTTTAAAAATATTTTCTTCTTTCTGTTTGATAAATTGTGCTATTTCAAGGAAAGGTTTGCAACTCTGTTCATTTTTGTTTAGTTTCTAGACCCATGTGACTGGCTTCAGCACGTTTTAAGCAGCAGGTTACCTGCTCAAAAAAAAAAAGCATCTGTGAACTATGGATGTGGCATTAGCGAAGAGAATTTGCAGTGCCTTACATGCAGTGAAGCAGATGGACTCCACGGTTGAGTTAACAGCCACTCATAAGCTTGTCTTCAATAATGGATCTTTTTTTTTCCCTAAATGGCTTAAAACCCCATATGCTTTGGAGAGGAGAGCTCCAATAGCTACTCTTGCAGAGCATGGGGTATTCGGTAAGGCCTACAGAGCAGCAGCTATAGCCTCGCAGAGGGGTAAGCATCCCTCTTGCATATTTAATTCATGCTACATTTTGTAACAAAGATGAACAAGGAAAGCAAAAACCTCCCCAAAACATCAACCCCACAGCGCACTGTGAGAAGAGTCACAGCCCACCCCGCACTTTCTGTTTTGGGCTCTTATTGCTCACAAAACTTGAGCGGCTTCCAGTTTAGTCATTTCCCCTTATCAGGAAGTTCAGATGAAATTATATTCCTACCGGAGGCTTTTAGAGGTACATAGGAGTCCTGTTTGCCTTTACAGGAGATGTATTTTTCTGGCACCTTTTCTTTATTTTCCAGCCAAGTGGTGGTCATCTGCTCACTTCCAGTGTCCACAACCCCTTCTGATTTTTGCTACAGATGTCTCTCTGAAAAGGAGCGTTTTGTTGTCTTGTTCCCCAGTTACCCAACCTTTTCTCAGTAGAGAAGAGACAAGGGGGGAGAAAAGTGGGGCGAGTCCCCTCTCCGCAAAGGTTATTGAGGAAGTACTTAACCAGCTTCCCATTATCAGGAAGGGGATCCATCTGAGACCAAACCTTTGCTAAACTGGACAGCAAGAACTGCACCTTAAGCTGATTTTCTAAACAAAGTGGTAGCTGCCTGCCTTTAACCATCCCCCGGAAGAGTTGTCTGGATAAGGATCAATACTCATCGGATGAGCAAGCTACTGCTGTTTATCACCTGTGCCTAGAGCCTCCAACAGCTGCCAGCGCCTGGCTGTGCTCGCTGACGATCTCTGCACCAAAACACTGGCTGAAGAGAGAAAACACAGAGCAAATCAAAGGGGGTCAGCTGGACCCCAGAGTAAGGGCACAGGGGAGGAAACGGAGTCCTTGTTCCGCCCGGCTGCGATGCGGGTAAGGGGAGGGATGGAGTCATCGCACCCGGACAGGGTGCGGAGGAGGCACAGGGCTCTCCTGGAGGACCTGCCACATGTCCACTTTGCATGGGGTATCCCCTGCCCCGATGGCTGAGCCTCAGCTGTCGAAGCCCTCTGCCTTCCACACCACTCCCTCTTCCTTCCACACGCCCCCAGCTCCATCCCACCACCCAGCAAGCCATCGCCCTCTCCCAGGGCATGCCGAGGTCCTGGTTGCAGGGTGGTCTCCCCCGAGGCCCTCCTGGCAGCCTTCGCTACCTGCAGACGAAGGTGCTGGCGAGGTGAGCAGGTGACACAACTCCCCTTTCTTCAGGTTTGCGGAATTATTTTGGCATTAAATCAGTGCCAGTGGAGAACACCCCCATCGGTGCCTTTTTAGGATCATGAATGACTCTGGGCAGGTCAGAGCTGCCAGGTCACATTCACCAGAAAATAATAGTAATAAAAATACCATACCAGGATTTCCACCATTTCATACTTGGCTCATGAGGGTCACAATCACCAAAACCGTGCTTGTCTGGGTGCCCAGCAACCTTGGTGCAGAGCTGCTGAAGCAGACACAGCTGCCCACCCGCCTCCAGTGCCAGCCTCCGAGCAACCTCCAGCGGCAGGCACCGCACCGATGCTCGCCTCTGGGAACCCCAGCCCACCGCTTCCACCACAAAGCAAAGCTGGCCCACTGTCCAGAGACGTACGTGCAGAAATAACATAAGGCCACTACCATTTCCATTAGCTTTCAAAAAATTAAATTGTCAGTACTTCCCCATGACTCATATAACAGCCAAGATGTGCTTCTGGCACGAAACCAAACCCGGTATCAGTTGAAGAGCCGAGAAGAAACCGAAACATTTTGTGTGAACTTTCTGCTTGTTACTAGTGAAGCCACACACTTGTTGAGATTCAAGAACCAGTGAAATACCTCAGCACATGCATAACTAAGCACAAACTCAAGGACCTTTGCCACACAGAAATGGAATTAACCAAGCACATTATTTAGCTTTGCAATACATAAAGTGTTTTACCAAGTTAAAGTCTGAACCACAGCCCACCGACATCAACGAAAGATCTTGTAAGGACTTCGGGTTTGACTCACAGAAAGCCATCTCTGCTCATCTTTCACCACGACAGGCACACAGGCTTTTGTAAATACTCTGCTACAGCTCGCAGTAGCAAACCACAGGGTATCGTCCCATCTCGAGTATGTCTTTTTCTATTGGCTCATCTCATATACTAACTTCTGTGGAATATAGCTCCATTTTAAGTTGCATCTTGAACTGCTAAAATTGGGTATTTCCAATAACGGTTTACCAAAAAGTGCTAGGATATTTTACAATTGCAATACATCCCCTAACCTTGTCTCTGTACTGCAGATAAAGTGACACAGCTCTGAGCGCTATTTCAGCGAGCTGCTGGATCGCTTTAGTAAGGAGCACATCCTTCGTCAAAAAGCACACAGGAAAACTGGCCCAAACACAGGCAAGTTAAAGTTTGTTTGCCTACCACTGCCAGCCTCCTCCCTGGCCACCTTCCACACGCCCGGGTTGTGCTGCCTTTATTGAGGTTGGTGTGCGGAGGAACACAGGCTCCGGGCTCTTGAATTCCCTGCTCTGGAGGGCACCCAAACCACATGCGTTTCTCCGCATGAGATTTCAACCAACCATAAGGTTTGCAAGTGAACGAGCAGATCTCCAAGCAGTTCGGACCATCAACGCGCCAGTTCCAGGCCAAAGAGAAAAGCTTCCCCATAGCATCACACCGCAGCTTGGAGACTCGCAACTCAGCTGTGTCTGCCCACTCGGCCGCCTCTCCCCCACGTCACCTTAAATCCTGCTTAATAACAACACGGGCTGCTGACCTTAGTAAGAAGGATTGCTCCTAATGGGCATCTTGCCATTGTTCACGGTATACAGTCTTTAGGTTTAATGAAGAAATCTTTATTTGAGAGAATATTAAGCTATAGTCATGAACATTACTTGAGGTACACAAACAAAAAAAAAATCCTATCACTAAAGGTGCAATAATTTATTTGTATAACTCCTACCCTCCACTGAAGGTAATATAAACACAAAATGCTTCAGAATTATGGGATGTATTATCAAACTAGTGTCCGTATAAAAAAAGTTATAGCTTCAGTTATAACAGAGAAGTTGTGCTGCGATGTTTAGTTTTTCAAATGCACTGATTAGATACTATCTTAAAATTACTTCTCAGCTCAAGTTGGCATATTCTATAAAGGCCGTGTAAACTTAAACTTTTTAATTCCTAGAAATATTAAAACAAAACAGCTTTATTGCATGTTTCTTTTCTTATTACTTTCAAAAGAACAAGGTAACAGACTGGAAATCATAAGCATACCTGAAAGGTGGGGTTTTTTTTTTATAGTACTTAGGCTTTGCCTTCCCAAACACGGTCATACATATTTTTCAGATTTCTTAAGAAAGGGAAAAAACAACATATTGCATTTTAAAGGAGCAGGTGCAGTGTTTTTATGAGTTTTTCAAAATGCAATGAAAGCCATGATGTCCATGAATTCAAGCTCTTACAAGTGATTGTCTGGAGGCAGCCGATACATATGAGAAGAGAGTTCCTTCTTGAAAGTTATTGGGACTGAAGCCATGTCACAATGTAGTCGGCTGTCCAGCAGCTGGGTAAAATAAAACCAAAACAAGTCATTAGTTGACAAATTTTAACAAATATACATAGGCTTTTCTTCATATGATCTCTACAATTAAAAAAAAGCGCATCTGGAAGTATGTATCATCTGTGCCCTGCTTCTCCCTCCTCCTGCAAAGTTGGAGCACTAACTGCAAAGAAGGTTTCAGCATAACCCCAGTGGAAATATATTTTCCATGCCACATGGACAAATGCATTCTGCATGCACTTTTATTTCATTTTATTCCCAAAGTACTTGTGGGTGTATTTATTTTCAGGCTCTGCAGTGGCAAAACAATAAAGCAAAGGACTGATGAGTCATCGTTAGCTGTGCCTGGTTTGCGTTACGGGGTAACACAGAGCCCTGGTGTTATTTGGCCATACAGAGAATCTCGTGGATTTACTTACAACCATAGAATGCTTTGGGTTGGAAGGGACCTTTAAAGGTCATCTAGGTCTACTTCTTGCCTTTCACTTTGACACTCAAACACCTGTAACTACTCCCCGTGTTCCACATTGAATACTGAGTTCACTTTCTTGTGAGGTTTTGTTGTAGAGAAATAACTTACCAATAAAATTCCATCCACATTTATCTGAAAAACAGAAATATTTTGGACCCTGGACCACTACGTAATCTTTAATACTTTTCTCTCTTAAGGTTTTTGATAATTTATTTTGAAACTGAATCATCCACAGTTTCAAATAAGCTTCTGGCAGCCAAAATATTTCATCGAGATGTCCATAAGCATCTCAAAACAATACTGATTAATTCTGGGTTGGTCAGAGACGGTCAGCTGTGCACACTGCTGCACAGATTTTCAGATGTAGCTGTCGGGGCAGGAAGGCATGAGCTACGCAATAAAACAACTGATTTTATATTTAGCATTAGACTTCCCAGAACTGAAAGGCAAAACACCAACATTGCACTGGTTTGTTCTTCATTTCAGATGTGGAGTCAGTCAAATTCCAGTTAAAAATGAGCAACTAACCATATTTGCACTTCTATCAAAATCAGCCCCGTTGAAACTGTCAACAAGAGCCAGTGTAACTTAAATTCAGCTAACTCATATTTTGAGATTTTGCACAAGGAATGAACAGAGCAGGAAGAGGCAACTTGTAGGAAAAAAGACAAACCCTTGCCATTATTATTCTCCAGGAACCTTACATTGCCTCAAAACCTATTCCTTCTGTTGTGGACCTGGTTACTGCTGTGCTGGGCATGTACAAATGCAAAACCTCACTGCATGAAATGCTGTACACAGCTCTACTGCATTTTCTAGCAAAGCCGTTGTAGAAATGATGATGGAGGGGGTGATTTCTACAGCATATAAGGTGATAAATAATTCATTTGAACCTTCATCTACCCTTGAGGGACCTAAACTTTTGTTTAAGCAAAAATGATTAAGAAGAAAAGGAAAATGTGACTTTTACCATCTACCTCTGTTTTTTTTTTGTGTTGATGGATGTGCAAATGTGCTTTTTGAGGGTCAGGACCTCATCCTCATGAGGAAGATTTATAGTAGGCAAAAGCTATTTCTAAGTGTGTCACGTTAAATAAATATTAATAAAAAGTTGCTAACATTTCTTAGCAGAATTAAAAAAAAAAAATAAATCACCAAACAAATGGTTATACAATAGCACCCTCTAGCTCTGCTGATGGGGAAGTATCTCTCCCTTGAAACAAAAAAAATAATACCTATTATTCTGCTGGCAAAGGTAGGTGGGTACCTTTCTTACTCCTGGATTTCTACAGCCACTGCTTTTGAGAGAGAAGAAGGGAAATAGTAAGTGAAAAGAGCTTTGTATCTCCACTTCTCAGTTAGGACTTTTGGCAGTGAATATACTAAACAGTAACATGTAATGGGACAGCAATGACCACTCCCATGGTTTTTTCCTGCATCTTAGTGTCTTCCAGAAAGTGGAAGCCAGCACGAGCCCATCTGATACCACCGGAGACACCGAGGTGAAGCTGAAATGCTCTAGCATTTGGTATCAGTCACAGAAATCCAGGACTCGGAAGGACAGCCAAGTGACCTGCTTTAAGGCAGAAAAATGCATCAAGTGTTTTTCTGACAGGCAGTTGTCTGGCTCCTTCTTCAAAACTTGCAGAAAGCAACACTTTCCCACATGTGGGCGGATACCACCACAAGGATTCATTATGGGTTACAGAATGTTCCTAATACGTTACACGACCATTTTGTCTGCAAAGGGAGGCCTGGAGACATACAAAATGGAAACTTCTCCAAACGAGGCCCAGGGCCCTAGACCTAGTAGAAGTATCTACATTGTCTTGCGTGATGTGACAGATTCAAGACTCCAGGACATACAATATGTGTGCACAGTGTAGGAGTTTGTATTTATGCACAGAAACAGCCTTTACATCTAATACCGCTGAGCAGAGATCCTCTGGGCAAGATTTAATGGGCTTGGAAATCTTTTATGACACAAGAGAATGATTAAAACAGCACGGGAAGGTTCCCCGTCCCATAGTGAAGCTGTGCCTGAGCGGTAAAGCCAGGAGGAGACAAACTTATTGGTTAAGATCACGGCAACAGTATTGTTAGAGTTCACTGTGTTCCTTCAAGAAATGCTACTTACTTCTGGATCGGATATAACAATCGTTGCAGTTAAGAAGACCGTTTCTAATCCTGACATCTGTCCCACTTGCTGCGTCTCCCAGCTGTCCCTTGCAAATGCCACACTGTCAAATAAAGAACAGAGAAAGTAAGAGAGACTGTGCCCTGCCATCCGTCACAACTCTTCCTACATTTTGACTTTTGTTTCAGTAGTTCTTGGAACAGTGAGGAAAAAACACCCCCCTAGCCCGTACTCCTGGGGAGCACTGCAAATCAGCGAAAGGTTTTTTCAGAGCCAGCAGTATCTAGGACTGGATTTCAGCAGTCTCCACTTACACAGAAGTGAAGTCTAGTGATTTGAAGTGACATCTGATTTTAATGTTGCATTCTGGAGCCAGCCCACCTGTGACGGACAAAGCTCAGAGAGGCCAGAGATTTAGTCTGGGTAAACACCTAAAACCAAAAAAGGCTTCATGATTGTCTAATACCAGCTGGGCCAGAGATAATGGAAATGGACACTTTCTGAGTTCTCTAGAAAACACTATCTTGAGCCATTTCCAAAGCAAAACACTGAAGAACAGTTAAGAATTATTTCTGCTGAGAGCTCTGGTGAAAGCCAGAATACATCACCCATTCCATAGTCAAACCTTTCCAAACACGGGTCAGATCAAAGATGGCTTTGGGACTGACCAGGTTTAAAAAAAAACAAAAACAAAACCAAAAAAACTCACAAAGTAACTAATGTTATATTTAAAAAATAGTGAGTACAACAGGGAAATTATGTGATGCTTCCCTCTGTATGTGAGGGAGCTAAGTTTGCTTGCTAAATCACAGGTTTCAGTCCAATTAACATGTCTGACAGCTAAATAACACGTTCGCTGCATTACTTCCACTTCTCTACAAACAAACGCACACAAACATACACAACAAACATGCAAATCTCTGGATCCTCTCATTTTCCATTTCACACCGACTGCCCTCAACATCCTCTCTCCTCGCACTGTGCATGACTTGAGATTTTTCTTAGTAAAGCAAGAGACACACCCTGAAGCACTGAATATGGAAATAGAGACCAAGCGTTTCTATAATCATGGCAGCTCCTTTTCCAAGAGGAAGCCCACAGGTAGAACACAGCTTCTTCCCGCTGACAGATCTAGGAAACAAACATGACTTGAGAAAACAGAACAGATTAGATCAGTTAGAAAACCGATGCTAAAACACAGCCAATTGCTTCCACAGGTTTATGTCGAGGGACAGGACGGGAGGAAGGAGCACTGCAGGGTTTCACATCAATACGCATTGACCCTTCAGCCATGCTGCAAAATCAGCCTGCACGTCTGCCTCTCAGACAAACAAGCAGAGGACTTAAAATGCTTGAATGCACTGCGGCTCGGACCCATTTCCCTGCCAGTCTGTTGTGCTAGATCAAGGGAGACGCAAGCCTCTTGACAGAGACCCAGGTCCATGCCTGCGGATTACATAGACCTAATCAATGCCACAGCAATCAAAGCAGATATTCACACAAATTACCCCAGTCAGACTCTCAGCCTGGAAATGTTTCAGTTTGTTTGCCAGTGGGTTTGCTTACTGCAAGCCAGAAGGCAGGGCCACTGCTCTCGCACCCAAACAAGCTGGTGAAGTCAAGAGCCACAGCGTAACCGCAGCAGCCCAGGCCAGGCACTTGCTAACCAATTTTAGTCTATGCTGCTGGGGCTACATGCCTGTTAGTATTACAGCTAGTTACAGCTGAAGTCAGATCTCCATCACAATGCAAAGATACTTCAGCTCTCTCCTTAAGCTTCAGTCCTGTCCAGACCTGTCTAGTAAATCAGCTGTTTGATGACAGCCGGGTGAGAGATCAGGGCCCCAGGAATAACTGGTACCCTTCTTCGTAATGGTTTTAACAGCAGGGCAGGTGCACACTTCTGTGTGTTTCACACTCTTCCCTTCTCACCTGTTTGCCAGTCTGCCAGAACTGATGTTTCTCTAGTGAGACAAACCCGAGACCAAAAGGATTCCCTTGTCATTGTGTGTCATCCATGCTTTTTTCAGCCAAGGCTGAAACCGGGAGAGAAACTTTGGGATACTTCCTGAGTTTTGAAAAGATGGTTTGATGAAATTGTACACAGATAAGCAAGTTCACATTATCTTGCTTTATGGTTTTAGTGCAACAACATAAGAAGAGATAGATCTGAACTGCATCATGACAAAAAAAGCCACTTGGAAAAAAAAAAGAAAAGAAAAAGAGAGACAGCAGCAGCAGAAAGACTCATCACAACCAAAAAACTGTCATTGCTTCCAGCTAATCTCTGTCACTCCTGAGCCCATCAGTCTTTATCCCAGCACATGCACTGACAGCACAGTCATATCACTGTCTTGTTGCTTCATTCTCATTATTCCTTGTAGAATAACTTTCCTGGTTTCTCCTCCCCTGCAACCTCAAGCCGCCTTCTCACATCCCTCTGCGTTCTTCTTGAGTCTACCTTTGTTTTCACTTCCACTACGAGGGTTATTGTAAGGACAAGTTAAAGTGTTGGATCAAAGAACAAAGTGCTTTGGGAAAATTCTTAAGAGAAGATCTTTAATGTTTTAGTGGAACAATGAATTACATCCCATTAACTAAGATTTATTTCAGGAAAAGATCTTGGAAAAGGGTCTGAGATCAGAATATAGCTGCTAAATAATATGAAGTAGCTCTCACAACTATCTACCTGTAGCAAGAAATGATCTGCAATCCCACCAATACCGCAGCTACAATTACAAAACACAGAAGAAATTGTTCACATAAAAAATTCCCAATAGTTTCACATCAATAGAAGTGGCATGGAAAGGAGGGCTCTGCTATGAAATGTGAAGAAAAATGTTATTTAAATAGAACAAAAACTTGCTGTGTTTTCTGTGTTGTATTACTTTACGCTATTTAATAAGCCAACTGATTTTAATACACTCCAAATTACCAGTGATTCAGTAAGGTTACAGTTAACACTTAGAGTTGGTACACACATGTCACTGAAAGCTGCACAGATCATTGCTTGAGAGAATCGTATCTCTACGAGATCAGCACAAATACAGGCAAATAAAAAAAACAGCAAAAAAGCAGAATGCGTTTCAAGTTTGGAAATTAAAGGAAGGATTTCTGTTTAAATCAGATAGTGCTGAACTGTGACAAAGTCTAGAACATACCTTACTCCTGAGCATGTGACTATTCACAATGAAGACAACATCTTCTGGCTTAAGTGCTCTGAACTCACGCTTAACTGCTTACTTTGGCTGGGGCTTATATTATCTCATTTCAATTTCATTGAAATTTCAATGATCAAGCAGAGTCCTACAGCTGCTTTCTGAACTATGTTATTTGAAAACATAACAGTACTGCTGCAGTAGGCAAGAAATATGGGAGAGGGAGCTACACGTCCATTCCACAGACAGTTACAAATTGCAACATTTAGAAGAATTAATAGTGCATCTACATAATACTAATGTGATTTACACAGCGGCAGTTCACCAGCAACTGCAAGATGTATTTGGTCTGCAAAATTCCTTCTTGACCTTTTGTACCTGTTGGGTGACTGACTCGGAGCAGCGGGAGAGCAGGGAGACGATGGCCCAGATTGGAAGTTCTCATGATAGCCCGCCCTAAAATGCAGGAGAGAAGATGCATTACTACAGCTGAAGAACAATTAAAAACAGGTTTTGTACAGAGAAATTCCAGCTGGTGGATTTCAGGTGGATTCTCAGCTCTAAAGATTTTATTTAAGGAAAAAAAAGGCACAAATTGCCATTTTGAAACAACGAAAAATAGCACACATTTTTTGGTTCTGAGTATTGGTCTGCTTACTATTGCTCAGTCAGATAACTCGCAAGGAAATCATCCATGTGCAGACTCCTGCCCACCTATCAACCCAACATAGCTCCCACCATGACGAAGGAAGGGTTAAGCCAAGGCATACCACCTTGTACTCTCTGTGGGCCAGGGGATGGGCTCAGAGACACACTGGCAGAGCAGATCTAGGGTTGTTGATGGAGGGTCTGTGCCCTTTACTGGGTAAAAAGGGAGCTGCCAACATTGAGAAGTGGTTTATTACTATTTGTATCAGTTCTACCCTGCAAGAATTTGGTGAGAAAAACCATGTGTGTTTTTTGTCACCAGAAATCATAGGGTTGATTCAACCTCTCACTGGTTAAAGCTGTTTACAGATTAAATAACAATTTTCTCAAACACACACGAGCAGTTTGTTATGAGGAACAGGCAATCAAACCTCAGTCTACATTAGTTTTGACTGGATACAAGCTCCATAGAGGTAACACATTTTGCAGAACACTCTGTTCATATATATGCTAATGAAAACAGATGTTCCTTTCTCATTACATGGATATACTTGTCGCAAATGTTAGGCAAGCAGATCCCTTGTTTACCGGAAGAACTGGCGTTACCTTTTAGTAATGCTTAATCAAAAACACAAGGCAAAGCATCAGAGAAGAAAAAAACTCACCAAAATTTACAGCAGAAAGAAAATACTAATCTCTATGTATCTTCTTCTGAAAGCTATAATCCTTAAAGAACTGGAAAGTAGCAACGAATGTGTGTTTGGAAGCCAGGGATGAAGCTCTTGGATACCAACTTCAAAGAGGCAGACTTCACCTGACATTCCCACCCTGCTTTGTAGCCACTTACTAGCTATAAATGCTTGTCTCAGGCACTTAAAACAAATGAAGCACATGAACAGTTACACAGATGAGTGTTTAAAGAGCTAAGGAGAAAGAAGACAGAGAGTAGCAAGAGGGGGTGGGCTCCCTCATGAAACTAGTTACTGAGGTACCCGTAATGAGAAACAAAGTGGATAAATGTTGGTGGTTTTGGTGGGAAAGTCAGGAATCAAAGGTGTCTTCACACTATAGGACTACCCATGAAACTTAACCAATAAAGAATGTTGAGTAGGAATATAAGAGAGTCTCTGCAACAACCTTTATTTTATGTTCTCACCTCCTTGTTTCCCCTGCAGGGCTCGGCTGTTGTCCCACACTCTGGCCCAGGACCGGTCTCTGCCGAATGTCCTCTGTGCGATGCGGGGACTGCTTTGTCAGCAACTGCTGATTCCAGGAGACATCTACAGCAGAAGGTGGGGAAATCTCAATACTTGAGACAAAATGCTTTTGTCAATACTTATAGACCAGCATAGCTTGTGGGCGCACCATAAAGGAGACGAGAGATGTAGTGCTACTTAAAAATAAGTTCTCAGAAACTCCATACAGAGTCAGAGACAGGCTCTGCTATACCAGAAGACCTCTATGGAACAACGTCCCCCTGCATTACCTTCACACACACATGACCTACCCTGCTGCTGAATCTCAGTTTCTGAAGGAAGAAAGGGCGAGGTCAAACAGCTGTTCACAAATAGCACTTAGTAAAATAAAGTATTTCTGTCATAAGGAAGGAAGCACCAGAGAGACAGAAACTTCCCATGGTGCCTGAGGATCCAAACTTCTCAACAGCAAGAGTTAAGAGGAAGGTGGTGTAGTCACTGCTTTCCAGGAGCCTACTGATAAAGAGTAATTGCCTTGTAATTTCCTCCTGCGTTTCAGATAGTTGCACAAGGCTCAGTGACAGTAACAGCCGCCCAGCAATACGCAGTGATCTGTGCGATGCCCAGGCAGCCAACCATCCCGTCTTCGAGAGAGAGCACACTACCTGGATCCTTCCAGACAAATTTTGTGGCTCGCAGCCTGGGGAGAGCCTCACCCTGCCATGCACCAACCAGCTGGGTTAGAGAAGAAAAACTTCACTGGGGCCTATGAAAGGCCTGTTACCTGTTTTGGATATCAAGACAATAAAACCCTAGTCCTGATGATCCAAGGACTTCAGGAGAAAGCAAGGATGTGATGCTTTAAGGGGCAAGAAAGGAGCTGTCAGACTACTCGTAGGGGACCCAGTTGTTGAAGAGCACCTAGAAAAACCCTGATTAGCAGAAGAAGTTTAAAATTGTCAAACTTTTGATGTTTGCTTAATCACTACTACAAATCCACAAGGATGGACTGCTGGGAAGTATCTTCTGCTTTCTCTATTTGGGCAACCTTTATCAAAGCACTAAGAATACACTAAAACTGAGATAGGGAGAGCAAACCTTCTAAGTTTAATAAACTGAATTTGTACTTGGAGCAAGTAATAACACCAAAACCTTTTCTATCCAGACATTTCACTTTTTAGAATCAATTTTTATGCTAGATTGAAAAAAAAATCTAAAACTCGATTTACAAATCTACATTTGGTTTCTGTCTTTAGTCCTACTTCTTTACTTTCGACCACTCACTTGCACTAGATAATAATGCTAAATTAGTTAATTTGCCTTTTTTTAGGGTGACCCTAATTTGGGGAAATTTCTTCATTCAAAAAACATCAGTACTTATGGGAGCTTTAAAAAAAATCTATTAATTTTAGATGTCATCAGACATTTCTAATGACAAAATTGAGACAGGTGTCACTTTAGGCTTGGATTGAAAAGGTTACACATCATAGGTAGTGGTTTTTACTGGACTGAAATGAACATAAAGAATCTAATTAGCTACTAAAACACAAAAGTGTTGGAAATATACTCTCTGTATCAAGATAAATCCTATATGTACGAAAGATTATGTAAAAGATGGAAGATAACTGTGTTTACTACTGTGAATATGCAGGCCTATAAACGAGATTCCTAGCTGCAGCTGAAATGCTCACGTCTGATGAAAACAAGATTTTGAATTTCACCTTAACATATTTATCTTTGCTAACCGAAAATAACTTGAGTTTGAGACATTCAAATTTTGAAGATATGCGTGTGCTGTCAACTTCCAGAATTCTTTGGGGTAGATTTCTGCAAGTTTTCGATCTGGAAAAGAATACATGCGTATGCAGAGTCTTGACTCTCACCCTGAGTCAACGGCAGATTCAGCCTGGCAGGTGAGCTGCGCTCCATCACCGGCACCTGGTGCTCCTGTTCACCTCCTTTCAAGATACCCGTCTCTGGGTGTCCTGAGAGCACTCTGTTTCCACTGCCAAGAAAAATAAGATACCTTGTATAAATAAAGCTGGGAAAAATTCCACCTAGAATATAATGGCAAAATTGTACTTCTGAATATCAGTCTATTTTTTGCAAAAATATTTTGGTTATTGTGTCAGCAATTACAAAGCAATGACGATAGCTGTCATGAATTAACAAGTTTGTCTCCAAAAATGCTAAGTCTTCCTGCTTACCTCACACACTGCCACTTAGACGTGCTAAAGATCATTCTGCATTTGTGGAAAAGGGCTTCTTTGCTTTTCTCAGCGTTCTCTATACAGTGTTCAGCATCATCAGATGCTTCTCATCTTCGTGAAAGTCATTATTAGCAGTCAGGCAAAGACCAGGACTTTGAACACCATCGGGCAAGTTTAGGTACGGCACTTCTGAGATAGCCAGGCAATCTGAGTGAAAACTGCTACTGCTCCTTTACTCCTCCAAATGGCTTGTCAAACTTGCACACAAGACACAGTGCACTAACACACAGAGATGTCCGAGCTATCTAAGCTCTGGCGTGGTTGATGTGACAGCCTGCTGGCAAACCCTTCGGATGTGCACAACTAGCACTGCACATTGCCATATGCGCTTAAGCCTACAGCAAGTGAATATTGATCGGGATACATTACACCTATCACCAGGCCACCAGACACTGATGCTCCAGCATCAATCATGGGCAGATGTGACATCCCAGAAGTCTACGGAACACAAAGCTCCACAGGGCTAAAAAATGCTTAGGCTTGATCCATACCTCCTCTTTTCTTGCCAGAGTTCATTTTCCTTGCTTTTCAGAGACGACGTCCTGTTCTGCTCCCAGAGCAGCTTTTTCTGCCTTGCAACTTCTTTTTGCTTGCCTTCCTCTGGAGAGCTGTTTGAATCAGTTGAGTTCTAGAAGACAGCAGGGGAAGGAACAAGAAGCTTCCCTTGAATTCGGTATCAGCACACACTTGGAAAAAGCACAGCCTGCCCCTAGATACATTGTGCTGACACACCTTACTACCGTAAAGAGCATCTCACATTACACAGTGGAATCACTTGACCTTGGTAAGGCTAACTTTGGATTTAACAAAGACTTCAGCTGAAACAATCAACCATTGACTGTGGAAAAAAAAGTTATGGATGGATCAATTATGAGATGGTGTTCAGATAACAAAGTACAACTTCACTCTACATAATTTTTGGCAGAAATCCTTGAAAGCCTTTGTGAGTCTAGACAGTCTCCCAGTGGATTTGGGAGGACTTTGTGAGGGTCTTCAGCTTGTTGTCTCTGGCCTGAGGACAAAGCATTACTCACATGCACTGGGTATCCTCAAATGGCAACACAAGTACTACTTCCAAAATGGTACTGGAGTGGGTCATACCTGACTGGTGGAGCTTGAGTAAGCCCTAGCATGAGATCCTTCACTTCTGGGTGCAGGCACTGCCCTGAACGTGGCATAAGCAACTCCACCTAGGAAGTCACTGCTACACAGCCGTGTGGAAAACGGGCCACGGCTGATGCCCCTGCCCAGGGATGGGTGATAAGAGGGGGCAGGAATGGTGAGATGATACAGTGCTCCTAATCCTGGAGTGGAATGGAAAAAGGCAGATGACTTCTTGGGTGTGGGTGCCTTAGGCAGGAGAAAATTATGTCTGGGAATTCCACATTTACTCTACTGATCTCACCTGAGGTGTCCTTCTCTGATCTCTGGCAAACACTTTTTTAATTAGATGCTAGATACATTGAGTTAAACATTTTGTTCCCCAAACATAAACAAACAAACAAACAAACAAACAAACAAAATCAGAGCATGAACATTCATCTGTTTGTTTTGCTGCTTTCTAGGAGGGATGACGGGAGAGAAAAGGAGGAAAAGTGGGGCGGCAGGATTCAGTCTCATCTCAGATATGCTTAAAGATATGCACTGTCTTACACTCAAGATTTTGGATGCTGGGAAATCACTTCAGATTTTGTTGGCTTTGAGAAGGTAGTTAAACCAAACAGAAGCACGTGACTGTTTTTTCACAGCACCAGTTAAAGAAGAGAAGCAGCTGCAAAGAGAGAAAGTATCACCCTCTGCTCTAGTCCAAAATGGGATGCTAGCAGATTGCTTGGGAGTATGGCTCTTCAGTTCTAAAAACACGCAAGCTACAGCACTCTGCAGTATTGCCAGCTAAGGAAGGGATCCAGGGAAATCTCTTACTCTTACTGTTCCCAGACTTTGTTAGCCTTTAGTGAAGAATGAAACTTTGCACTGAAGATGGTTTAATCTTTATTGCTTTACTACTCCACGAGAAACTCACCGCTGTCTTGTTTCCTTCAGTGGCAGAAGAGGAGGAGGAGAGGAGCTCAGCAGAGTTTGAAGAAACAATGAATGGAACTACAGTATCCTCAATTATCTTACGTTCCTAAAAAAAGAGGATCAGGAGAGAGTGGGTGTTAAAAATACAGAATGTCACCTATAAGCTTAAGAAGTAGAAGCATAAAGTTTGGCTATGTGTCATATTTAGATGGCAAGGTAAGGACCTGTGGTACCAAGAATAATGGTAACACCTCAGTTTTTAATTTGCTTCAAGGTTTTGCACTCCTTTTCCTTTCACCATTACCATCTTTGAGATGAGATGTCCAAAACTGGAAAGTATATTCCACTTGGGATGGCACCACTGTTTCTCACAACATCAGGTTACTAAATTTCATATAAAAATATGAAATAACCCTTGGTACACGAGAAGCTTGTTCTGAAAGTTTAAAAAAAATTTCTTGTTCAGGTCACAAATATGGCCCTCAAGCACAGATGATAAGACCTCAATTTGCATAATTCACAGCTAGTCAAACTGAAAACATGAATATTTTCCAATTTCCTGCAATAACGATCCACATACAACAGAAGAAAACCACTATCTTCTATATTGTTAATATTCTACAAATGCAAGCTTCAAACATTTCCTGTGGATTTTTTTTTTTTAAAGACAAGGCCAGTTTACAAAATATCTACATCATCAAGCCCAAGGCACACAACACTTTCACCTGGAGTTCCATCAAGACCAGGCACCAAGTATACGCCAAAACGCACAAGGCTTTGCCTCCGGAGGGAAGTCTGAGCACGCCCAGACATAACCGCACTGACTCACCCAGACTTGCACAGCAATTAAGACACCTCCACCTATGTGGAGGTTCTGAGGATACCTGTATTAATATTTAAATATTTATCCTCAATGGCTATGGTAGTGTTTAAGAGAAACGATCCTCCTGAGAATTCAGCCTTGAGAAGGCTTTTCATTAATTAATCTAGGTATGGGATTTTTTTAGTTAAGTAAGCGGGTGCCTTTAAATACAAAAAAGTCAATAAACAACCTTGTCCTTTGAGCCTTATACCTCCTCGTAATATCTACGCTCCTCCTCTTCAACTTCTCTTTGGGCCTTTTCCCATTCCTCTTTCAGCTTGTCCTGCTCCTTCTGATACTTCTCCTGTAAGAGGATACAAACACAGGTAAATTCAGAGCATTCGGTATTAGGAGTAAATTCTGTAGTATCTCCACAGTGAAAACGAACCTGCTAAGAGTGGTTTAATCAGAAATAAGATGAAATAGGAAGACAACAGTTTAAATAACCATGGGTGTCAAAAAAAGCTTGCTTTCCTCCTCTCCCCACTTGTTTCTAGCACTTACATTTAACACACTCAAACCACAAGGAACTTTTAACATACTAGAAGAAGTTTAACTTGTTAGAAGTTTTTAAACCTTTGGTCAGAAATTAAATTTATGCTCAACAATTTCAATAATTCTTTGTTTATTTTACAGTATTAAGAGTTCTAAAAAGCGATTGCACACCTCAAAACATTTAGGCATGGATTTTACATTAGAAACTTCAGCAAAGAAGCATATAAACAAGCAAGTCTTGCAGATACTGGTACTAATTTCAGAGAGATGCCAGTACAATTTAATGAATGATGAATACCTGTGCAAGTTTAAAAGCTAAATGAAAAATGTGTAAAGGTTTGAAGGGGGTAAGCTTATAATTAGCTAAATAGCTTATTTTCCTCCTTGATGGAATTATTTCTAGAGAATTGTTTTCACACAGTTTTGCATAAAAAATTACCTCAAAGAGATCTTTAAAATTGTTTGACAGAACTGGTTTGAATATGGGGAAGAATAGCAACTTCCATATCCCTTTTACACCAGTTCCAGCTTCTGTTCACATTAGAAACCACATCTGCCTAATTCAGAAGAGATGTATTCACTATTGAGAGAATACCCACATATGCCAGAAAAACTATGATGAGAATTTGACACCATTTTAACAGGAAACAACCATATTGGCTAAAAAGAAATAATCTCAAGAGAGCAGTAGAGACACACACAAGTCATTCTTAAAGACTCCATTCTATTATTCTCCATCCTTTGACAGTTTTTTGCTCTTCTGTTACACAGAAGAAAGATACGATTTCTTTGGGACCAAACCAAATCACAGTTTCAAAAGACACTACTGACTGATGGGGAAATTCAAGTTCTCAGGGCCGCTGCACTTCTCCCAACTAGGACACAAAACCAGACCTTTTACAGCTTACTCTGCCATTAGGAAAAACCAGTGGTTGTTCTGAGGGAGTTTTCCCCCTCACAAAAAGACCCCAAACCCTTCATGTCCAAACTCAGCTTCATGTTTTCCAAGCAGAACCTGTGAATGGAGCAGAAGTCTACAAAAATCTACTAAGACCATAATTTTAAAGAAGAGTTACACAGGTGTCAGGGCCAGGAAAACATCAGTCTCGAGCAAGAGGCTCCAAGTAATTAAGACTCACACTTTCTGCTCAACACACTTTGAATGTAGTTGAGGACCAACATTTGGTTTAACTCTGCACTGGAATGCACAACTCAGACCTTTCAGTCTTTCTACAGAGCAGGGAAGGGAGATGTTAAGAGTGCCCAAACCACAGAGAATGTGTGTGTATGCTCGTGTTCTTACTCATCTGCCACAGAATTCGCTCAAGCATCCACAGAGGATGTGGAAGACACGACATGAAATGCCCAACTTTTGTCCAAAGAGACAATTCAACCACTGAGCTACATGGTGGAAGGAAAGTAGTTCCTTCCTTACCTGAAGCAAGCGTTCTTGCTCGTGCTGCCACCTTTCCTGGCGCTTTCGCTCTTCTTCTGGATCCCAGGACCAGAAATTGAAACGCTTGCGTGAAGGAAAACCGAGCTATTAGACTTTAACACCGTATTTCACATGGCTACCAAGAAAGCTGCACTTCATCTGGCCCACCCCCAGCGGCGACGTTAAAATGGAAAATGGAGAACTCGATAATGGTTCTCTCAGTTAGCAGACAATATTCTTAGCTTCACTGACACTTGGGATTGCCCACAGGTATCCAAATGATACAATAATAATTTGGTTTGCAAAGAAAGGCTTGGGAAACTTCAGCTGGAGGGGAAAAAAGGAAAAAGATCTGAAAGAAAGCTCTAAGAAGCAGTGAACAGAGATACCTGCAGGTACCCAAATTTAAAGAAAATCTCTATTTTTCTTTCTAAAATATTCTGTGCAACATGCTAAGCAATCTATGATTGTAAAACATATTATCTTGTTTCATATGGCTGCCAGTACAACAGCCTATAGCCCTGTTTTAAACTTTTATCCGTAAAGAAATAGTATCTTAGGCTTCAGTAAGGATCCCATTACATGATACATTTACGTGTTTAAAATCCTTATAATCAAGGGCAATTTGAGACACTTGATGCCTATTCCTTTCCACTAATAGTCATATTAGAATCTGATAGGAGGAGATTATGCCTGTTTTTGTATGACAAACAGAATATGTAATACTGTGTACTTTAGTGTAGCATTTGTGGCGTGGGGTTTTGCTGTGGTGTGTCCCCCCCCATTGGGGAGACAGTAGAATTGTGGTCTCTAATTTCTATACATTGAAAGTAGAATGCGTAACTTGGAGTTACATATTGAGATGACGAAGGTTTTGTGGTTCCAGTAAACCAGTACTGTATAGCCAGCATTCCTTCTGGACAAGAGAAGAACACATAAATTCCAGATTCAGACCAGGTCTTGATTTGGGTTCTATTTTTTCTCTCTCATTTCCATGAGAAAAGAAAAATCTCATTCTGATTTGGGGATGTTACAAGATACTTTGCATAAAAAATTCACTTTTGCTAAATACATATCTCTAAAATAAACAACAATGCAAAAAGGTACTCACGTTTGATTTGTCACCAGTCTCAGAATCAGCTGTTAAAAAAAAAATCCACAACAGAAAACAGAAAAATTAAATTGAACACAGCAAAATGTGCTTAGCCTGCAATTAAAGCTACATTGTATCTGTATAAAAAAGCTTCATGTTAGTTTCCTATTTGTTCCCACAGCCAAATGCAAGGACGAATTGCAAGCAAATAAACAAGAAAAACAGATTACGCCCATCACCAACAAAACTACTTTTTATCTGGGTACAGAGGAGCACAATACTAACTAACATCAGGTTCTACTCTACCACTAGCTAATGCCATCTACTTCTGGCGACGGATGTTAGCAGTGTTCAGACTCCGAATGTTACCTACTTTGATCTACTTTTCCCTTCGTGATTCAGTACACGGAAGGAAAAAGCACAGCAAAGCTAAAAGGATGGGACTACACTACTCAAGAGCCACAGTTACGAAGAGAACCATTGCCATTCTCTACCCAAACGTCTTTGAATTAGGCTGATTTTAAGAAATCAAGGAGAAGGTATTTAAAGGCAAGTGATTTCTTCTGGGTGCCTGAAACCAGAGCAGCAGGACAGT